TACAACCATCCATTGGCATTTTCACTTGTAAGCCTCACAGGTAACTAAAAATATTAACTAAAACCTAATTATAGATCTTATTTCCCCACCCCAAATTTGTACCCTCTTATCCATCCTTTGTTTCAGTCATCAGCACCACCATTAATCCAGTAATCTATTCCAGATACCAGGACACCATCTGAGAGGGTACCAGGCCTCAGATGTGGCCTGTATTCAGGTGCCCCTGTTTTCCATTTTGTCTCCTAAATAAACCTTAAATATTTTCCCCAATTCACCTCTAATGCTTAATTTGTGTCCTCATTTTGATTGCTTGAAATGATTGCCATTCACTTTTTTAAAAAATTCAGGTATAACATATATGTGCATACATTTAGTATGTATGTATATTAATATATGTTATGTATCATATAACTACATGATTTTATATCAATACATATATTAAAGTGCATAAAGTGCAACTGGATAGTTGCCAGTTATATTATATTGTTTGCTCTTAGAACTTTGCTTAGTATGAAATAGGTTCTTAATTTACATTTGTTGAGCTCAATTTCACATTGCTCTGTATACTATCTATCTCTATCCCACTGTCAGGAAGACTGTTCCAAAGCACATATTAATCCTTCGGTAACTTTTGACTGAAAAATGATATAGTACAAACTACTTAGCCATACTAATCTATCTTTACAGTTTCTTTTCCTGGAACGTCCTATCATTCTCTTTGAAGCTATATGATTCCTTGTGGTACATGAAATATATCATACACTCTCTCACTTCTGAGTTTTTCTAAATATATAGTGCTCCTCCTGCTTCTTCCCCAGTTTGCTAATCTCTTCCTAATCTTAGCTCAAGTATGGACTCACATTGAGCTTATTACCTGATTCTCACAGACCAAGTGTCTCTTCTCTGTGCTCATGTATTTTCCTATGCTGATCTCTACTGTAGCACATAATACACTATAGTAATAACTACCATCTTCTTTTCTTTTTATTCCACTATATAGTAAAATATCTATTTTATTTATGATTTGAACTTTTTAAAGTTTCTTAATGATATAAACGATATTTTATTTATTTCAGTATTCTCAAAACTTCATTAAGGGCCCAGTACTTAGGAGGTACTCAATAAATGTTTCTTAAATAAAACTACCAGAATATTTTGAATTTAACATATAACAATACATATTATACATTTTTTCTTCATCCATTCTTGAGTACTTAACAAATATTAGCTTTGAAAACTAAATGTAAAAAATTTTCCCTTTTCCTTCTTTGGAATATATGCTAATGTGAGCAAAGGCTTCTTTCACAGCAGATAAGGGGTTCAACTCTCAATTGCTTACCAATGGCTAGTGGAAAAATAGGAGCTAATAGGAATTCCTGTTTCTGTCTTATCCAAAAGATATCTTAATACTCCTCTAGAAGAAATATAGAATTGTCATGGCTTCTTAATGAATCTAAGAAGAACAAACACTGAGTTTTTTGTTTTCTACAAAAGTAGTTATGTCTTAAACCTGAACTGAAAAAAAAAAAAAATTCTAATTCTAAACTTCAGTTCAATAATTTTAGAAAGCCCTCTCTCATACTGTGTGCTCTTTCCTCCTATCCTCCCCTAATGAAGACTTACAGTCCATAAGTATTCATAAGTATTCCATAATGGAGTATTTTTTGTAAACCAAGAGGAGCCTCACAAAGAATAACGATTTCTGAAGAATGGAGGGAGTTATGAATGACAGCTAGTTTTATAGATTTATCAACTAGAAAGGAGAAGGAAACTGTGTAGTTCCTGTATTTAAGGAAGAAGTTCATAATTGCATGACTAGCTGTGGCATTATGATTAGGTTTTTGTCCATGGTTCCTAGCTCCTAACTCCCACAACTCTTGTTATAGTCTTTTGTTACAATGTTGCGGTGCTTCAGGCCTTGGAAGCAGGCCTCAGGAAACAGTCTCTCTCTCTCTCTCTAACCTTCTGCCCTGCTCTCACTTGCTGAAGACAGGACTCTTAATATTTAGACTATGGGTCATCAGACCTTCTTTCCAGAGAGGGTCCTGCTGCATACTCTGGAGGAAGGAATGCTGCACAGAATGACCAAGAAGAATCTGAACAGACAGGACTTGCTGGATTTAAATCATACCCTTTTTGTGCAGTCACGTTAATCATGGACAATCAATGAAGTCTCATAGAAGCCCCAAAGGACAGGGTTCAGGGAACTTCTGGGGAGCTGAACATGTGGAAGCTGACAGAAAGATGAAGAACTCATCCACGTGTTGGGAGGGTAGTGCACTCCAACTCCACGAAGACAGAAGCTCCCGTACTTGGGACCCTTTCAGACCTCACCCTATGTCTCTTCATTTGGATGTTAATATCCTGTAAAATATCCTTCAAAATAAACTGGTAAAAGTAAGTATTGGTTCCCCTGAGTTCTGTGAGCCACTCTAGCAAATTAACCAAACGCAAAGAGGGGGTTGTGGGAACTCCAACTGGAAACTAGTCGGTTAGAAGTTCTGGAGGCCGAGACTTGCAACTTGGGCGGGGGAGAGGGTGGTCTTGTGGGACTGAGCCCTTTACTTGTGGGATCTGATGCTATCTCTGAGTAGATGGTGTTGAAACTGAATTGGAGGACATCTAGCTGGTGTCCACTCCTTAATATGGGGGGGAGAAACACACACACATTTCGTCACAAATGTCAAGTTTTCTTAATGAACCTAATCACAAAATAAGAAGAATAAATGCTGAGAGGATTTTTGTTTTTGGTGTTTTTTTTTTTTAATAAAAATGGTTATGCCTTAAACCTGAATGGGAAAAAAAAAAATCCAAATTCTATACTTCAATTCTCTGACCTTCTCCTTTTCTCTTCTTCTATGTTGATGATTATTGTTGTGGTGTGAGATAGAGGAAAAGCAAAGTTCGAGACTTTTTCCAAAATATTAGCGTATTAGACTTCAGAGTTTCACAGGCTAGTAATTTTTTTTTTAATTGATAAAACCAACATAAGATCCCTCACTTTCAACTGCCTGTGAAGAAGTAATTTAACATAGCAGGCCTGAGGCTGTTATCTTCAGAAAAGTTTACCCTGGGCTAGTGATGTGGTTTGGCTCTGTGTACCCACGCTGAATTGTAATTCCCAATGTTGGGGGAGGGACCTGGTGGGAAGTGACTGGATCATGGAGGTGGATTTTCCCCATGCTATTCTTGTGATAGTGAGTGAGTTCTCATGAGATTTGATGCTAAAAGTGTGGCACATCCCCCCCTTGCGCTCTCTCTCTCTCCTGCCACCTTGTGAAGAAGGTGCTTGGTTCTCCTTCGCCTTCTGCCATGATTGTAAGTTTCCTGAGGCCTCCCAGTCATGCTGCCTGTTAAGCTTGTGGAACTGTAGGTCAATTAAACCTCTTTTCTTCATAAATCTCAGCGCACTGCAACTTCTGCCTCCAGGTTCAAGTGATTCTCCTGCCTTAGCCTCCCGAGCAGCTGGGATTACAGGCACGTGCCACCATGCCCGGCTAATTTTGTATTTTCAATAGAGATGGGGTTTCACCATATCGGTCAGGCTGTTCTCAAACCCCTGACCTCAGGTGATCCGCCTACCTCAGCCTCCCGAAGTGCTGGGATTACAGGCGCAAACCACCACACATGGCCATCAAGTAGTTCTTTATAGCAGTGTGAGAATGGACTAATACAGCTGGCATCTGGGAACCTGTCTTTTGAAAACCTTTCCTAAATGATAATGTTGTGCCTGCTGTGCCAGCCTACTTAAGACCGTAAAATGAGATTTACGATGAACACCTTTCCTTTTGAGAAAGTCTGGAATTCTGGTTGACAAGAAGGTGCCAACGTGATCAATCCTCAATTAAGAAAATAAAAACCCTGAACTCTGAAACTAAAATAGAGTTCCTGATGTACTACATACGTTACTGAATTTTAAGTTGAAGGACAGGTGTATAGGGAAGTCTGAAAAACATGGATTCCTCTAGACTCCTCCTGATGTCTTTTTCCATTAATAATCTGGCTATATATCTTTACTATGTCACTGTAATAAATCTTAGCTATGAGTATGATTGAATGTTGAGTTGTACGAATCCTTCTGGGGAATCACAGAACGTGTAGGTGAAATTGGAGACTTCTGAAACACTACTATGTAAAGATAATAAACAAGGAGAGGATCCTATCATCATATTTCACAAAAGTATATGTTAATAAAATTCTGCTCTTTACTCTGACCATATGGAAACATGGAGCATAACATCAGAATAGAAGGCAGAATTTTAAATGAAATAAATGTAGCATTAGGATAAGTTTAATAATTAGCCTTATTTTTCTCATTTTGCTACAGATCAGTGAAAATCTCATCATGAACCAGTAACAGACATGTGCTTAAGAACTATGAGGTTAAGTAAGTTTTGCCTAGATATGCCTTTCCTCCAATTTACTTTCTTCTGAAACTAAAAGTACTAAAAAGAAACGTTATGTGTACAGGGATAATTTTAAAAGCTGAAACTTTTAGTAAGTCATTAAAGATTTCACTGAAATAGTCTACTTTTAACTGTTATAAAGAATGGAAGAGTATTATAAATTAATAACAAATTTTGTTCTTGAATATTTTAAGATTTGAAGTTTTCCTGCCAGCCAAATAACAACGTAAAAACTACCAAAACCAAACAAACGGAGACAGTGATACTTCTAACTTTGTCATAAAACTGTTTTTATAGTTATTTCCTCCTTATTTATAAATACTGATATTTTAAAATTATTTATGGAAGACAACATTCACAATCTTCCACAATCACCTGAAAAGGAGCCCATGAAATCAACTCTTCCTATGGGTGGCAATATTTTTTAAAAAACAACAAACAAAAACCTCAAATTTCATCCATTAATATATACCTGCATTTCTGTAATTATAGCTCTTCAGGACAATTTCTGACAATATAACATTTTTGATGCAAAAGGCTCTAAAATTCCATGTACCAAGATAAAGAATAACTTTCAAAACCAGAACCACACACCTTTTGCTGTAATTCTTTCACTGCAGAATCTCTATCCATGCATGCCTGCCGGAAGGCTTCATATGCTTTATTGAGTTGCTCGCCAATGTTTTTATCCATTCCTCTTCGTCCTGTAGCATCACTATAAAGGATGGAGTAAATGACAGGTCTGCAAAATAATGAGAACAATTTAGATAATTACTAAGTTACATAAATCTCATTTTAAAAATGTACCTTAAAGATAGTTCTATAAGGTTTACCACAAACATTATAGCACCAAATACTAAACATAAGTCTCATTTAAAATCCTGACTAGAAATCTTATGAAACCTTAAGTTCTACAATTTTTAAATATTTTTATTCTAATGTTCAAGGAGCAAGTGGGGTTCCAGTTCAGGAAGATGCTACTTTGAGAATAGTAATCTATAAACTTAACCTAAAAATGAGAAAATATAAAAGGCCATTTTAAATTCTTTATTATGGAAATGTACAATAGGATCAGCAATGTGGGAAGAGATTTTGTTTTACTAAATGGACTCTTATTCCCACTTACGAGGTGAATTCTTGCTACACTGAAATTAGAGCAAAATTAAATAGATAATAAATGTTTGTGGATGGAGTTCACACTGTTGTTATCACAGAGCAATTAAAATGTGTGAAAATGTTCTTATTTTAGCACAAAATCTAGGGAGAGTTGCTGTTGCATTGTACATTAAAAAAGAAAAATTACATCCCTTCAGTCCTACCCCCAATACCTATTAGTTTTCTAACTTCCCTGCTGTTTCTGAATACAGGTGATTTGCTCAGTGGAGGTAATTTGGTTTTATAATCTCAGTTTGCATAACATCTCTTAATGACATTCCTTTGCTCTGAGCAGAAGGCTAACTAATGACTCCAATTCTTCCTGTCCAACTGTAAAAACCACAACACAGGACCTTTCTGTTAATCCTCTAAAAGCCACAGACTAGACAAAGTTCTCTATCAGTTATATTGGGTACCAAATTATTTCATATTTCTGAAAATTCTTCAAAATTTCAGTCTCTAATCTGTCCTAATATCTTTTGTTACATCTTTAGGCACACTTTCAAAATTTTCACATTTTCAATTGAGATACAATTCATATAGTATAAAATCCACTATTTTAAAGTGTACTGTTTGGTATTTTTTAGAATATTCATTATGTTACGCAATCATCACCATCATCTAATTCTGGAATATTTTAATCACCCTCCCGAAAACAGTCCATACCTATTAAGTTAGTCCCAATCCTCCTCTTCCCCCATCTCCTGCTAACCATTAATCTTTTTTTTTGTCTCTATGAATTAGCCTATTTTTGACACTGCATATAAATGGAATAATACAATACACGCTTTTTGTGTCTGGCTTCTTTCAGAAAGAATAATGTTTCTGAGGTTCATCCATGATGTAGCATGTAACAGTACTTGACTCCTTTTTATGGCTAAATAATATTCCATTGTATGGATATGCAACATGTTGTTTATTCCTCAGTTGATGGACATTTGAGTTGTTTCCACCTTTTGGCTACTATGAATAAGGCTACTGTGCACATCTGTGTATACATTTTTGTGTGAACACGTTTTCAGTATTTTCAGATATACACCTAGAAGTGAAACTGCTGAGTCATATGGTAATTCTATGTTTAACTTTTTGAGGAACTGCCAGTTTCCACAGAAGCTGTACCATTCTACATTTCCACTAGCAATGTATAAGGGTTCCAATTTCTCCACATTCACACCAATACTTCTTATAGTCCATTTAAAAAATTACAGCCATCCTAGTGGGTGTGAAGGGGTACCCTATCAAGGTTTTGATTTGCAGTTCCCTAATGACGAGCATCTTTCCATGAGCTTATTGGCCATTTGTGTATCTCTGGCAATGTATCCATTCAAATCCTGTGTCCACTTGTAGTAAGTGGGTTATTTCTCTTTTTATTGTTAAATTTTAAAAGTTCTTTATATTTTCTAGAAACTAGACTGTTATCCAATACGATTTGTAAGTATTTTCTCCCATTCTGTAGATGTCTTTTTACTTCTTGATAGTGTCCTCTGACACACAATGTCTTTAATTTTAATACAGTCCAATTTACCTATTTTTTCTTTTGTTGTTTGTACTATTGGTGTCATATCTAAGGAACTGTTGCCTAATCCAGGGTCATGAAGATTTTCAACTGTTTCTTTTTAATAAGTTTATAATTTATATTAAAGTCTTTGATCCATAGTGAGTTAATGTTGTATAAGGTGTGAGGTAGGGGTCCAGATTCATTCTTTTGCATGAGGTTAGCCGAATGCCCTGGCACTATTTGTTGAAAGGGTTATTCTTTTCCCACTGAATAGCCTTGGCACCCTTGCCAAAAATCAACTGATCATAAATCACAATGTTCTTTTAAATACCCACATGCAAGTAATCTTTCAGCCAAAGTCTTTCATTTTAAGATACTAGATACATTTTAAGTAATTTACATTTAAGTAATTTACCTGGAATAAAAACAATTCCAGGGTTTTGGATAACAATGTCATTACTTTCTGAAAAACTGAAGAAATGGCAACTCTATGCATTCCACTTAGGAAGTTAGTTTCTACTGCTGTCTCTGATAGATGAAAAAGTTGAAATCTTGTTAGGATAATTAACATTGCTAGGATCTCTGCCCAGACATAGACAATATGGAAACATAAGCAATTAGCATTAATAAAAAGCACCATTTTGAGTATTTTAGACACTGCTTCATTCAAAAACATACTAAGGCTACTTATAAAAAATACATGAGATTAAAAATAAATATGCGAAGAGGAAAGAAAAAGTAAGTATAGGCAGTCACAGGGACTATAATATACTATAATATACTAATACAGAAGTTAGAGGTTTTAAGTAGCTAAGTGGCTAAGTTAAAAAGCCTTAAAAAGCTGCATGTCATGAAAAATTGTCAATGTAAACCACACCTGTACTTTTAGATCTGGGACAAATAAGAGCCTTGAACTGGAAATCCATCTAGTTCCTTGCTTTGTTCTATTACTGACTGACCCTTAGTTAAGGGCCACTAAATTTTTTGGGACCAAAGTTTCCTTTTCTTCAGTACAAAAAGGTGTTTGGACTCAATTTCTAAGAAACTTCCTTGTTCTACAGTTCTTGAGTTTATGAGTTAAAAATGCATGTCTGTTCCATCAACAAGATGCATTCTTGTTTTTAAAAACGTAAATGCAGCACTAAAAATAGCTGCATTGTATGCAGGTAAATCATGTGGAGCCATCACTTCAGGTCCTTGCATTAGATTATACAAATGTCACTAAGAGAGGAGCTACTGAGTAAATTCCACACAGATGCGTCCTATTTCCTGAAATAAGAATGTATGCTGAAGAAATAAGTTCCAGGTTGACACAAATAAGTAAATGATAAACTTTTAATTCCTATTTCACAACCAAGAAGGGAATTAGGTGTTAGATCAGCAACACCGACCAGAGTAAAAGGAAAGTCTCTGGGACTCGGCTAATTAAAATGGACAGATTTCAAATATTAACACCCTGAACTTTAAAGCCACTTGTTTATTTATTTTTAGCATTTGTTAAGTATAAAATTAATTTAAGAGGCAGCTACATTTCAATTACATTTCAGTACCCCTTCCGCAATATTTGCCAGACTCCAGGAGAATGCTTTATATTTATAGTAAACATGCTCAAACCTAAATCTCATGGTTAAGCTCATTCTCCAAACCCAGGAGACGGCTACAGCAACCTCTCCCTTGAAAACATTCTTGTAGTTAGGGTTTCGCTTTATTTCTGGATTTGGTTTGCTGGTTTCCTTCCATTACATGAGAAAAAAATTCTGAAATCCCAGAAGGTAGCAGGGTTAGCTCAATGCAAATCACCATCCCAATCTTGTCCCCTGCAATTCTTCTGGCGCGTGGATACTCTCATCTACCCACTGTTGTCCCTCTAGCAGTAATTCCTTTTTTCCTACCCAGACCAGTGGTTCAGAAAAGCAAAACTGAGGGCAGCAGGTTCTTGTCCCACCTATCCAGCCCAGTGATTGACCATGGTGTGCCTGTCCATGAAGAAATACCAGGAAAATCCCTGCTTCCTCTTTCATTGATCCCTTGGTTCAATAATGAAACTGTCCTGGAGTAGGAGAGGCAGCATGAGCAAGAAAGATAATTTTCCCTTCCTTTGGTAAAGCTTCCCAGCCCTAACAAAGCTTTGATTTTAGTAAAATATATCCCATTACCCTTCAATTAGAACAAAGTATTTGCTGGCTTACTATGTGTAAGGCACCATATGGGGAACAGCAAGGGATTCAAATATAGTACTATCTTAAAGTTATGTTTCTTTCACAAAGTATTTTCACCAATTCTTCATTTCCTATTACATATTAATATTCCTGTTTGATAAGGCTCAGAAGGCTTAAATGACTTATCTATAGCTATAAAGCTGTGTTATGAACTAGATTAAATCTTTAAAATTCTTAGTTCAAGGATTGTTCATTAAAGCCAGCTGCAAAGTGCTCTCCCAGGGTGTTATGGTTAATATGCTTATTTGATAAAATATTTTGTGCCAACTATGAGCAGAAGTGTGCTGGATACCACTGATGCTGTGAGAACAAAACAGACATGAAATCTCCTCCCATGAAGGTACCATTAACTGTAACTTGAAGCATACAGTAGGTGAATATCTTAAGATATCCAAAAGGCTATAGAGTTTGGAGAGGAAAGTTCATCTATTTATGAAGTTTAGGAAAGGCTTTGAGAGGTAGGTGGTATTTGAATAGGGTTTTGAAATATAGGTGGGAATGATCTTACCCATTCCTTTTATTTAATTATCAAATGGCAGTCATCCTTTTTCAAACAGGTTTCCCACTGCGATAAGGATGTTTTTAATATTAAATAACATCAATTCTTTACTAAAACAGGCCAAGATTATATGCATTTCTTATGCATTGCTCAGGTTGATTGTCCTGATCAGGACAACCATACAAACCTGAGACAATTCTTAAGCATAACAATGATGGTTACTATAAACATGACAGATCAGGCTAAAGCTTTTCCCATGATGCCTGAAAGCAAGTAGGGGTGGAAATGAAAGAAAAGGTAAGTTCTACAGCCTTGATTTTCTTTGTTATTAAGACAAAGAGTTTGGATAATAGAGTTTCCTTTAACTTTAT